TTCAATTCAACATCACAGAAGACTTCTAGGAGACATCCTACTGGAGGTTATCGATATCACCGACAAGTTCTCTGAGGAGGCAATGCGGGAAATGGGGATGGAACTAATTCTAAAGATCTTGAAACATCAGGAGCCTACACACAGGAACAGATTTGCCGTGGTACGCAATGCGAGGTCGAAACTGCAGTCCACCCAGGATGGCCATGCCATCTTGGTTTTGGTAGTTAGGATCTAAATAAATTTATCTGAATTCTAAATATTAAAAAAATGCAATCAAAGTATGAAAAAAACTCGTATAATGTGGCATGTACCAGCTCCCTTTTGATATCAGGCGGTTCGGAAGCTCGTTTAAGAAATTCTTCTTTTAATTGCTTAGCGCTCACAGTCGCCTCGATTCCCTGGTAGACAGAAGTCTCGTAGCGTACAACGCCATCTGCAGTCTGTGGTTCATTCTCGAATATTCCACCGTAAGTCTACAATAAAAAAAATGATAATAACAAAAATAGTAGTATAGCCCGTAAGTAATCGATAAGCATGCAATATTATATTAAAGAGAAATAAGAGAAAGGGCTCTTCAAAGAAGGAGATACCCAAACAATGAGATTAAAAAGGATTTTCGGAAAAACAACCTCCACAGTTCAGTTTCTGATATAAGTAAGCTGGCTCGGAGTATTGGATCTCCTTGTCCATCAAAAGGACACAATTTAAGGTCTTTCAAGCCTCAAAGGGAAGAAATTAATCATAGGTCATCGCAAGCAAGCTATTTGTCACCTTATCCTACTAACTCTGTTATGGTATATGGATAAATCGCCTTTCAAGCATACTCTTTCCTAATATAATCATGACATAAATGAGTAGCTTTTCGAGGCTTACTGTAAATGAGATCTATCGATCCGAAATATAAGTGATGTCGTCAATTGCCATAGCAACTATAAGTTTGTTTCATTGACTATCCCACCACAGGATATGATATGGGAAAATGCTTGGCCTTCCTTGAAATTCACATCCGCCTGTGAATCAAGGACACTTGTGGCAATGCGGCATAGTGGTTAACGTGTCGAGATTGCACGCTGCATTGTCATAGTTCGAGTCCCGCTGAGGGTGTTGCCGTCCACCCTGGATAAGAATACCTTTTACGGAAGAAAGGCTATCTAAAATTCAATGGAAGCGTCAACTCTATTCATACGAGGGAAAATTCAACTAGCAATCTCCGTATCACTTTGAATGAAATAAGGTGAATACATCTCATAAAAATAATCTCACCTCTGATTTCACATCGATTTTCGCCCGTGGTAGATTGGCTTCATTTACTTTTCCGCTTTCGATATCCTTCCATAGAGTCATGACTTGTTTACGAGCTTCAGGTGTAAGTGATTTGAATTCCTCGGTAATCTGATTTATTGGGCGCTCATCCTCTCCGAACTTGTAATTTATAAAAATAATCATCATTATCATTAGGCTCTTCAACTGAAAGTGCTGAAGCGATGAAGATTTTATCAAATGTCTACTGATAAAATAATAATTCCTGGAAATTTTCCTAATTGTTGATTTAATTTAACCTTTTATTACCTGGATTAAACTGTTTTCTGGCGAGTGGTAGGTAATTTACAAGTGTACTTTATATTATGCCTCTGTATCAATCTAGACAAAGAAGAATTGTTGGGGAAACTTTCATTTCGTTGAAAAATGCATGAAGAAGATACTCGAAGATCGATCTCACCAGAAGACGACGGCTGATTCCCATTGAATTACAGTTGTTTGTCTTAAACGTGGCGTTCAGGTTGACGCAGTCCATGAGGCATCCTCCTTTTTTCGGGTACAAACGGGCTGAATTTTCATCCATCAAGTTTCTACCACCGTTCCTCACATTCAACGTATTTCCTAATTGATCGACTTCAATAGCCTCTTTTACCTTCCTTTTAACAGCAGATGTAGCATAATTGGAATACTTGGGAGCTTGCGACCATTCTATCTCATGTCCATTATCTACAATGTCTTTAGCCACTTCTGACCGTTGGGCCAAGCTGTCATTAAGAAGGATTTTTATGTTCCCCAAATCTTTGTCGAATAGGTCGGCATGTATCACCAACATAAGGTCGACCACAGAAGCGCAAAATCTTGCAGCAGCCGGATCTCGATAATAAATCAAATGTCTCTTTAAAAATGGCATAACTAAATAAGGTGTGAAGGTTTCTCGGAAAACTGTTTTTTATCATCTCCGCTCATTAGCTCGCCTATTGAAAGAGGCATAACGGCAAAATTCGGATGTGAGGAAAGGACCTGTCTTGTCAAACTGAAGGACTAATTAGATCGTATATATGAAGACCAAGATGGTATGGCCTTATATTTAGTCGCAGTCTCCTTTAGCTTTATGGTGTTGGCTTCACCTTGTTTTCGCAACTTGGTCGGAACCTCAGGCAGACCTTGTGGAACGTGCCTAGTCCCGTGTCCTCTATCATAGTATTCGTAAGTTCCAGCATTGGACCATTGGCTGGGTACATTCCCAAACGTTTCGCCGGCCTCGTCAGTGAGAGGCACCATCGTAAGCACAGAATTACAACTTAGAAAAGTGACAAGTGAAGACATTACCCTTGACCAATTTTCTGTTCAACCGTTGTGGCATTATTCCTCGCCCCCATATTTTGTTCTACCTTCTAGTGCCGCATCTCTCAACCCCATCCACTTATACACAAAATTCGGTGTTGTCATTTCTACCAAAGTCGCCTAAGATTGGGTCGCTACAAATGGGTTTAGTGAAGCTTAATCATCGCCACAACTGGTACCCTGCTGCTTGCAGGTCTCCTGACCTATATACTGCACCTCCCTTTATTTCCTACCCGCTTGTCAATTGGCCGCTTCTAAACATCAAAATCACTTATATGGAGACCAAGATGGTGTGGCCCCCGGTATGGTGACAGACTCCTTTCGATTTATATAAGTGAGTTGACCTAGTTTTCGCAACTAGGTCTTGCTGTCAGGTCGATGTAGTAGAACGCCCCTTTGTCAGAAGTCCTATGGCAATATTTGTCACAATTCCCAGCATCAGACCGCGGACTTGGTACATTCTCAGACGTTTCGCAGTTATCATAGTCAGCATCATCAGTGGGTGTTGCCATTCTCCGCACCAAGCTACAAACTCGTCAAAGGCAAGTGAACTCAATCCCTCGACCAACGTTCTGCCGAAAACGGTTACACTATCACTGCTCTTTCTGTCCAGACCCATTAATCAACTCTACCCTCTTATCCAACTCCCGCTCTATCACAACTTCTGACTCATCAAAATTTGTGCCCTTCTTTGGTAAATTTAGCGCGGTCTCATCATTACTCTGGCTCCCTCTCGATGGGCTAATCGGACTCGGGCCTCCTATCCGGATTTCCTTCATGGTTCCATAGATATGTTCCTTATCCTTCTGGCTGATCGATTTTGCTCGGTTCCAGTCACAGTGTGCGTTTTACTCCAGGCCCTATTTCTCAAGGCCGTAGAAGCAAATAGGCTGCCATCTCACCGTGCAGAGCGCCTAGGTTCTGATTCCCATGCTTGCAGTTATCAGGCATTGCCGTCACTGGTCGTCTCCTTGATTAAACCCGTGTTAAGTGAGCAAAT